CTCCTGGTGGCTGGGGCTCCTGGTGGCCGGGGCTCCTGGTGGCTGGGGCTCCTGGTGGCTGGGGCTCCTGGTGGTTGGCGGCCGGCACTCAGAGCCCGGCCTCCCTGGCTCCATTCTGAGCTCACGAGCAGCTGGGGGACGGCTCCGAGCCCCACCCAGGAAGATTGAAAATCAGCTGGTTTTTATTTGTTCCTCATTCTATGTGTGTTGGGGTGACATATGGATTCCATCGCCTCTTCGTGTGTAAATGGTGCAAAGAGAAAGGCTGTGTGGGTGACACCCGTCTGTGGGTGTGACAGACGGGGGGCAGCTTCGATGGAGCAACACTATGGGGCCTCTGGCGAGTGGGGAGCCAGCGCAGCACCTGCTGAAACGCGTGGGCCAGTTAGAGTGTGAGATGCTGGAGGAGGAGGCAGGAGCGTCCCCTTCACGCCCATCTGTGACCATCTGCTTGGGAATGTTTCTGTAGCGCATTCGGGAACGTTGAATCCAGAGGCTTTAGCAGACAAGATGGAAAGTTTATATAATAGTATTCAGTGTTTAACAGGTTGGTTAGACTTCAGGTTTGACTTTTACTCAGGCAGGAAGCACTTTGGAGAGTGTGGGAGATCTGTTATTTTGCACTAGTTTGTAAGTTTTTACGCCCCCCCCCCCTAAATAAAGTGGTAACTCAATTCTTCATATAAAAATGGACTCTACTCACCTGAGTGCTTTTAAAAGCACAGCAGGAAGAGCAAGCAGTGGGACATAAGCATTAAAGATGACTTGAGTTTCCGTCTCTTATATGCAGATTTTCTTGGACTGACAGTTTTTCTGGAAAAAATAAAAACCCTCTTTCAAACGTGACTGGAACAAGATTCTAAATGTCTGGGTTTGGACATGAATTAAGCCACTCGTGTAGCTCCACAGATTCACACTGGAGTTACAGCAAAGGGTACGCGTGGCCGCAGTATTACTGATGCGAAACATGCATAAATTTAAAGACACAGTGCTTAGGAACCTTGGCAGCGGCTCTCTGCCCCCATCTTCTCCCCCACCGATGTGCAGAAGTAACTATTCTAGCCTTTATTCTCATGCTCTGAAGGCTCGGGACACTGATGGGCTGTGGTGGGAGGCAGAGGGGAGCGCTCATACATACAAGATCCAGGCACTGAGAGCACCGTTTCCTTCCAAACTCCCCCTAGTTGGTTGGTGGAAAGCAGTGGAGACACCATTTGAAAACAACAGGCCTGGGATTCTGTGCCAAAAACCTTAATTTTAAATGAAAATGTGTATATAAAATATGTATTACATCTGCTGAAAATAAATTAAAACTGATTCACTTTGGAATTTTACTATAGGAATATGATTCAAGAGATGTGATGTGTATTTTTGAGACTGCCAAGAGTGAATTTTAAGTAGTTTGTTTATGAAACTTGAAAAGGAAGGTTGAAATGGTAAATGACCTTTAAAAGAAATTTCCTAATTTTTCCTGGTGTTATTAATAAATATTATAAGGAGTGGAACTCTCTGGAACTGAAGGAGAATAAAATTAAATTTTTTATAACACTACTTCTTAAGTTCGTACACCAAATTCAGCTTCCCCTTATTAAAAGTTAGATAAATTTCATGGCATTGTGTAAATTTTGAAAAAGGGAATGTCATTTATCTTTATTATCAGTATAAATTTTTCCCTATTTGTTGGTTGATAAAAATAAAAAATAAATTTGACTTCATTTAGCTTTTTCTCTATATTTTCTTCTTTTTAACAAAGCTATTGAATTCTATACGCTAATGAAGGAGAGAGTAGGGAGTTGAAACCCTGCAACCAAATATGGTAACAATGTACATGTCAGTGATACAGGCAGATCCTCCACCTTAGGTAACGACTCCTTCCTTGGAGCGCTGAGTCCCACCTGCTCAGTGTGACTGCAGAAGGCCCTGGGCCTGTGGCGGGGCAGTCAAGCCAGCTAGCAAACAACTAGAAATGGCCTGCGAATCTGACACTTGGCTGACATTCCCTTTGGTTTTGCTAAGCTTTGTGGTGGGGGGGGGCACCATTCTACTGGGGAGGGAGTGTTTATATAAAAACCTAAAGAAGCACAGCTGTCCATTCCATGCCTCAGCACGGCCTGCATTCGTGGCACTGCCCCAATCATGTTTACGGTAAAGCTGGCATGCCATAATTCCTGGTGAGAACAGTAGTTCATTACTTCACAGTTCACACTGCTTTATTCTTGAGTGAGTGATTACAGAGTCCGTGTGCAACTGAAGGGGTTGTGGCATGATCTGCCGAGGCCTGAACACATGTTGATTCCGTCCTCAGCCTGGAACAGGAAGGCTCAGGCCTCAGAAGTCTGGTGACCTGGGGTTTACAGTTAGTTTTTTTGTTTGGTTGGTTTTTTACTTTTAGAACAAAACATGTAGCTTGCTGATACTTTATATCTCACATTTTAACCAGGCCCTTTGCTCAGCTCACTTGTAAGGCAAGCTGCTGGGGTCCAGCCCCATGGGTCCAGGGGTTCCCAAAGGTGTGGACGGAGTCGGCGAAGAATGTTTTACACAGAGACAGCGTTCAGAACTCTCTAGCTTTCCTCAGTCTCTGTGGATCTTCCCTGTGCCTGGCTGAGGCCACAGAGAAAGATTTCACTTGTTTACGTTCTTGTAAGTTTCACTTGTTTACGTTCTTGTAAGTTTCACTTGTTTACGTTCTTGTAAGTTTCACTTGTTTACGTTCTTGTAAGTTTCACTTGTTTACGTTCTTGTAAGTTTCACTTGTTTACGTTCTTGTAAGTTTCACTTGTTTACGTTCTTGTAAGTTTCACTTGTTTACGTTCTTGTAAGTTTCACTTGTTTACGTTCTTGTAAGTTTCACTTGTTTACAGTGTTCTTGTTTTTGTTCTTGTAAGTTTCACTTGTTTACGTTCTTGTAAGTTTCACTTGTTTACGTTCTTGTAAGTTTCACTTGTTTACGTTCTTGTAAGTTTCACTTGTTTACGTTCTTGTAAGTTTCACTTGTTTACGTTCTTGTAAGTTTCACTTGTTTACGTTCTTGTAAGTTTCACTTGTTTACGTTCTTGTAAGTTTCACTTGTTTACGTTCTTGTAAGTTTCACTTGTTTACGTTCTTGTAAGTTTCACTTGTTTACGTTCTTGTAAGTTTCACTTGTTTACAGTGTTCTTGTTTTTGTTCTTGTAAGTTTCACTTGTTTACGTTCTTGTAAGTTTCACTTGTTTACGTTCTTGTAAGTTTCACTTGTTTACGTTCTTGTAAGTTTCACTTGTTTACGTTCTTGTAAGTTTCACTTGTTTACGTTCTTGTAAGTTTCACTTGTTTACGTTCTTGTAAGTTTCACTTGTTTACGTTCTTGTAAGTTTCACTTGTTTACGTTCTTGTAAGTTTCACTTGTTTACGTTCTTGTAAGTTTCACTTGTTTACGTTCTTGTAAGTTTCACTTGTTTACAGTGTTCTTGTTTTTGTTCTTGTAAGTTTCACTTGTTTACGTTCTTGTAAGTTTCACTTGTTTACGTTCTTGTAAGTTTCACTTGTTTACGTTCTTGTAAGTTTCACTTGTTTACGTTCTTGTAAGTTTCACTTGTTTACGTTCTTGTAAGTTTCACTTGTTTACGTTCTTGTAAGTTTCACTTGTTTACGTTCTTGTAAGTTTCACTTGTTTACGTTCTTGTAAGTTTCACTTGTTTACGTTCTTGTAAGTTTCACTTGTTTACGTTCTTGTAAGTTTCACTTGTTTACAGTGTTCTTGTTTTTGTTCTTGTAAGTTTCACTTGTTTACGTTCTTGTAAGTTTCACTTGTTTACGTTCTTGTAAGTTTCACTTGTTTACGTTCTTGTAAGTTTCACTTGTTTACGTTCTTGTAAGTTTCACTTGTTTACGTTCTTGTAAGTTTCACTTGTTTACGTTCTTGTAAGTTTCACTTGTTTACGTTCTTGTAAGTTTCACTTGTTTACGTTCTTGTAAGTTTCACTTGTTTACGTTCTTGTAAGTTTCACTTGTTTACGTTCTTGTAAGTTTCACTTGTTTACAGTGTTCTTGTTTTTGTTCTTGTAAGTTTCACTTGTTTACGTTCTTGTAAGTTTCACTTGTTTACGTTCTTGTAAGTTTCACTTGTTTACGTTCTTGTAAGTTTCACTTGTTTACGTTCTTGTAAGTTTCACTTGTTTACGTTCTTGTAAGTTTCACTTGTTTACGTTCTTGTAAGTTTCACTTGTTTACGTTCTTGTAAGTTTCACTTGTTTACGTTCTTGTAAGTTTCACTTGTTTACGTTCTTGTAAGTTTCACTTGTTTACGTTCTTGTAAGTTTCACTTGTTTACAGTGTTCTTGTTTTTGTTCTTGTAAGTTTCACTTGTTTACGTTCTTGTAAGTTTCACTTGTTTACGTTCTTGTAAGTTTCACTTGTTTACGTTCTTGTAAGTTTCACTTGTTTACGTTCTTGTAAGTTTCACTTGTTTACGTTCTTGTAAGTTTCACTTGTTTACGTTCTTGTAAGTTTCACTTGTTTACGTTCTTGTAAGTTTCACTTGTTTACGTTCTTGTAAGTTTCACTTGTTTACGTTCTTGTAAGTTTCACTTGTTTACGTTCTTGTAAGTTTCACTTGTTTACAGTGTTCTTGTTTTTGTTCTTGTAAGTTTCACTTGTTTACGTTCTTGTAAGTTTCACTTGTTTACGTTCTTGTAAGTTTCACTTGTTTACGTTCTTGTAAGTTTCACTTGTTTACGTTCTTGTAAGTTTCACTTGTTTACGTTCTTGTAAGTTTCACTTGTTTACGTTCTTGTAAGTTTCACTTGTTTACGTTCTTGTAAGTTTCACTTGTTTACGTTCTTGTAAGTTTCACTTGTTTACGTTCTTGTAAGTTTCACTTGTTTACGTTCTTGTAAGTTTCACTTGTTTACAGTGTTCTTGTTTTTGTTCTTGTAAGTTTCACTTGTTTACGTTCTTGTAAGTTTCACTTGTTTACGTTCTTGTAAGTTTCACTTGTTTACGTTCTTGTAAGTTTCACTTGTTTACGTTCTTGTAAGTTTCACTTGTTTACGTTCTTGTAAGTTTCACTTGTTTACGTTCTTGTAAGTTTCACTTGTTTACGTTCTTGTAAGTTTCACTTGTTTACGTTCTTGTAAGTTTCACTTGTTTACGTTCTTGTAAGTTTCACTTGTTTACGTTCTTGTAAGTTTCACTTGTTTACAGTGTTCTTGTTTTTGTTCTTGTAAGTTTCACTTGTTTACGTTCTTGTAAGTTTCACTTGTTTACGTTCTTGTAAGTTTCACTTGTTTACGTTCTTGTAAGTTTCACTTGTTTACGTTCTTGTAAGTTTCACTTGTTTACGTTCTTGTAAGTTTCACTTGTTTACGTTCTTGTAAGTTTCACTTGTTTACGTTCTTGTAAGTTTCACTTGTTTACGTTCTTGTAAGTTTCACTTGTTTACGTTCTTGTAAGTTTCACTTGTTTACGTTCTTGTAAGTTTCACTTGTTTACAGTGTTCTTGTTTTTGTTCTTGTAAGTTTCACTTGTTTACGTTCTTGTAAGTTTCACTTGTTTACGTTCTTGTAAGTTTCACTTGTTTACGTTCTTGTAAGTTTCACTTGTTTACGTTCTTGTAAGTTTCACTTGTTTACGTTCTTGTAAGTTTCACTTGTTTACGTTCTTGTAAGTTTCACTTGTTTACGTTCTTGTAAGTTTCACTTGTTTACGTTCTTGTAAGTTTCACTTGTTTACGTTCTTGTAAGTTTCACTTGTTTACGTTCTTGTAAGTTTCACTTGTTTACAGTGTTCTTGTTTTTGTTCTTGTAAGTTTCACTTGTTTACGTTCTTGTAAGTTTCACTTGTTTACGTTCTTGTAAGTTTCACTTGTTTACGTTCTTGTAAGTTTCACTTGTTTACGTTCTTGTAAGTTTCACTTGTTTACGTTCTTGTAAGTTTCACTTGTTTACGTTCTTGTAAGTTTCACTTGTTTACGTTCTTGTAAGTTTCACTTGTTTACGTTCTTGTAAGTTTCACTTGTTTACGTTCTTGTAAGTTTCACTTGTTTACGTTCTTGTAAGTTTCACTTGTTTACAGTGTTCTTGTTTTTGTTCTTGTAAGTTTCACTTGTTTACGTTCTTGTAAGTTTCACTTGTTTACGTTCTTGTAAGTTTCACTTGTTTACGTTCTTGTAAGTTTCACTTGTTTACGTTCTTGTAAGTTTCACTTGTTTACGTTCTTGTAAGTTTCACTTGTTTACGTTCTTGTAAGTTTCACTTGTTTACGTTCTTGTAAGTTTCACTTGTTTACGTTCTTGTAAGTTTCACTTGTTTACGTTCTTGTAAGTTTCACTTGTTTACGTTCTTGTAAGTTTCACTTGTTTACAGTGTTCTTGTTTTTGTTCTTGTAAGTTTCACTTGTTTACGTTCTTGTAAGTTTCACTTGTTTACGTTCTTGTAAGTTTCACTTGTTTACGTTCTTGTAAGTTTCACTTGTTTACGTTCTTGTAAGTTTCACTTGTTTACGTTCTTGTAAGTTTCACTTGTTTACGTTCTTGTAAGTTTCACTTGTTTACGTTCTTGTAAGTTTCACTTGTTTACGTTCTTGTAAGTTTCACTTGTTTACGTTCTTGTAAGTTTCACTTGTTTACGTTCTTGTAAGTTTCACTTGTTTACAGTGTTCTTGTTTTTGTTCTTGTAAGTTTCACTTGTTTACGTTCTTGTAAGTTTCACTTGTTTACGTTCTTGTAAGTTTCACTTGTTTACGTTCTTGTAAGTTTCACTTGTTTACGTTCTTGTAAGTTTCACTTGTTTACGTTCTTGTAAGTTTCACTTGTTTACGTTCTTGTAAGTTTCACTTGTTTACGTTCTTGTAAGTTTCACTTGTTTACGTTCTTGTAAGTTTCACTTGTTTACGTTCTTGTAAGTTTCACTTGTTTACGTTCTTGTAAGTTTCACTTGTTTACAGTGTTCTTGTTTTTGTTCTTGTAAGTTTCACTTGTTTACGTTCTTGTAAGTTTCACTTGTTTACGTTCTTGTAAGTTTCACTTGTTTACGTTCTTGTAAGTTTCACTTGTTTACGTTCTTGTAAGTTTCACTTGTTTACGTTCTTGTAAGTTTCACTTGTTTACGTTCTTGTAAGTTTCACTTGTTTACGTTCTTGTAAGTTTCACTTGTTTACGTTCTTGTAAGTTTCACTTGTTTACGTTCTTGTAAGTTTCACTTGTTTACGTTCTTGTAAGTTTCACTTGTTTACAGTGTTCTTGTTTTTGTTCTTGTAAGTTTCACTTGTTTACGTTCTTGTAAGTTTCACTTGTTTACGTTCTTGTAAGTTTCACTTGTTTACGTTCTTGTAAGTTTCACTTGTTTACGTTCTTGTAAGTTTCACTTGTTTACGTTCTTGTAAGTTTCACTTGTTTACGTTCTTGTAAGTTTCACTTGTTTACGTTCTTGTAAGTTTCACTTGTTTACGTTCTTGTAAGTTTCACTTGTTTACGTTCTTGTAAGTTTCACTTGTTTACGTTCTTGTAAGTTTCACTTGTTTACAGTGTTCTTGTTTTTGTTCTTGTAAGTTTCACTTGTTTACGTTCTTGTAAGTTTCACTTGTTTACGTTCTTGTAAGTTTCACTTGTTTACGTTCTTGTAAGTTTCACTTGTTTACGTTCTTGTAAGTTTCACTTGTTTACGTTCTTGTAAGTTTCACTTGTTTACGTTCTTGTAAGTTTCACTTGTTTACGTTCTTGTAAGTTTCACTTGTTTACGTTCTTGTAAGTTTCACTTGTTTACGTTCTTGTAAGTTTCACTTGTTTACGTTCTTGTAAGTTTCACTTGTTTACGTTCTTGTAAGTTTCACTTGTTTACGTTCTTGTAAGTTTCACTTGTTTACGTTCTTGTAAGTTTCACTTGTTTACGTTCTTGTAAGTTTCACTTGTTTACGTTCTTGTAAGTTTCACTTGTTTACGTTCTTGTAAGTTTCACTTGTTTACGTTCTTGTAAGTTTCACTTGTTTACGTTCTTGTAAGTTTCACTTGTTTACGTTCTTGTAAGTTTCACTTGTTTACGTTCTTGTAAGTTTCACTTGTTTACGTTCTTGTAAGTTTCACTTGTTTACGTTCTTGTAAGTTTCACTTGTTTACGTTCTTGTAAGTTTCACTTGTTTACGTTCTTGTAAGTTTCACTTGTTTACGTTCTTGTAAGTTTCACTTGTTTACGTTCTTGTAAGTTTCACTTGTTTACGTTCTTGTAAGTTTCACTTGTTTACGTTCTTGTAAGTTTCACTTGTTTACGTTCTTGTAAGTTTCACTTGTTTACGTTCTTGTAAGTTTCACTTGTTTACGTTCTTGTAAGTTTCACTTGTTTACGTTCTTGTAAGTTTCACTTGTTTACGTTCTTGTAAGTTTCACTTGTTTACGTTCTTGTAAGTTTCACTTGTTTACGTTCTTGTAAGTTTCACTTGTTTACGTTCTTGTAAGTTTCACTTGTTTACGTTCTTGTTGCACTTCCCTCAGCCCATTAGCTTCCCGAGTAAGATCTAGGGAGCGTTATAAGGCCAAGCCTAATTATGCTAAGAGGATTGTGCCCTCTAAGCTGGGAATTGTTTATGACTTTGCCCACAGGTCAGTCCAAGGCTTAACCCTATATCAGCTCCCCACAGCAAGCGAGGCTCATTTGGGTAACTGCCGCCTGGAAGTGAGCACCTCTTTGTCCAAGAGAAATGATGCTTCCCTGCAAATGCTTCTCCAATGCCGTCCACTGCCCTGCGCTGTGGCTGCCGCCACACAGGGCCGACAAAACACCCACATGGCCCTTTCCCAAAGTCTTTTTTTAAAGCTTTATTGTTGAAAGTATTACATATGTCCTTTTTTCCCCCATGAACCTCTTCTAGCCCACACCCACCCCCCGCCCCAGGCATTCACCACCCCATTGTCTGTGCCCATGGGTTTTGCATATATGCATACAAGTTCTTTGCTTGATCTCTTCCCACCCACCCACCTCCCCTGCCTTTCCTCTGAGGTTCAACAGTCTGCTCACCCTGGCCGTGACATCACCACCGGGCACTGTCAGAAGTGGGCCTTCAGGATGCCCTGGCCTGGGCCTCCGCCCCAGCGGAGGAAGGCGAGCACAGCGCTAGCCCGCCACATGCAAACCCACAGGGCCAGGCCCGGGCCACGGCAACACACTTACTGCATTAGGTTCATTTTGGACATTTCACATGGTTTCAGTTACGTTGAGCAAACTCAAGGTAGGTTTGGTGGTGAGCTGTCACAGGAAAGGTAATTGTGTCTGCATACGAACCTGAGTCCCAGCTATTCAAAACACAATAGACTCTTTGCTAAGCCAGAAGAAAGATCATCTCTCATCCCATATGGTAAATTTAAACTATTAATAGGTATTTTAATTCCTTTTTTTGTCCTCTGCAGTGTATGATTTGGAAAATGGGTCTTTATTTATTAACTAGGGGCCCAGTGCACGAAACTCGTGCACTGGGGGCGGGGTCCCTCAGCCCAGTCTGCCCCCTCTCACAGACTGGGAGCCCTCAGGGGATGTCCTACTAAAGGCTTAGGCCCACTCCACAGGGAGCGGACCTAAGCCACGGTCTGGCCTCCTTCTGCGGGAGGCGACCGGGCTGATCAGGGGAAGGCACCAGCCCCATCACCCCGCTGCTGCAGCCACTGCCAGTCACCACAGCCACCAAGGTGTTTTCATCAACACAGACTCCAGTCCCTTCACCATGAAAAAATGACAGCTTTCTTTCAGCATTTTCAAGATGTGTCTTTCATAGGATATGACATTTCTTTCTTTCTTTCTTCTTTTTATCCTCACCTGAGGAGTGTTTCCATTGATTTTTAGAGAGTGTGGAGAGAGGGAGAGACAGGGAGAAACATCAATGTGAGAGGGACACTTTGATTGGTTGCCTCCTGCATGAGCCCTCCACGCTCCCAGGCCCGAGGCTCGCCTCCTGCACGGCACAGTCTGTCTTGCCCAAAGGCACATGGTTCTCACCCAATCGCAGGCTGCTCTCTGTACTATGGACACTCACTTCACTCCATGGAAACAGCCAAACGAGACCTGTTGAAATGCGCGTCTGTTAAAGTGGGTGACTTCACGGTCACACACGCCTCCCACGGGGACAGGCAATGACTGCATTAGGTTATATTGCAGTTTTTTATTAGCAGATTTACTCATCTGTATTCTTTTTTTTTTTCTCTAACCCCCCTCCCCTACCATTTGTCTCCAGATCGATCTATTCTTGTTCATCACAGAGCTATTGTTGTACAAAATAATTTATCACAGAATTTCATAACAAAAGTTAAGATATATAAAATTATTCAACTCAGAAAAGTGGATTAAACTTCAGTTTTCAGAAATTCATCTTTGTACACAATGAAAATATATACAATTTAGTTCCTCTTCATAGTTTATGTGAAAACAAGAATGTGTATAAATGTGTATATTTTTATCTTAGGTGCCTTGAAAGTACAAATCACATCAACTCTTGTTTTCCAAGAAATAGGGCATCAGAGATTTAAGTGAAAATCTATATCTCATATCTTTTTAGCTGAGACAAAGAACTTCTAACCTCTAACTCACGAGGAGCAAATATGGTTAAGACAAGGGACTTAAGCAAGAAATACATTACCAGGGAATGAAACATCTTTATGGTTTGCAATTTGCCTTTTGATGGTCCACCATTTACTTCGAAGCCACTGTGGTGAACGAACACTGCTCCATCCCTCTGCTAACAGATCCCAGTTTATGTCATTTTCATCAGCTGCATCAAGCTCTGCTATCCTGAGGATGAGATTGATTTTATCTTCCTTGGTCCACTCAGTACCTCCACTCTGCTTCCAGTTCAGGTAGTTGAGCCATTTAGAACGACACTGCTTTTCTGAGCGGGTACCCACTCGTTCTGCCACAGCTGCCCAAGACACACCCTGTGTGACGATGTCACCTGGCTCAGTGCTGGTCAATTCATGAACCACCTCTGCAAGTCTCTTTTCTTCTTCTTCGGTCCACTTCCCTGTGTTGCAAGTATCCTTCATCAGTCGGCACCGATCTTTGACGGAAGATGCACTTCTTCCTAGCGCCGCCCCTATTGTTGCCCAGTCATTGCCATGCTTTATCCGGAGCTCCTTCAGCTTTTCAATTTCTTCAGGTGTATATTTTCCCACATGGTTTCTGTCATCATACATGCGAAGTACTCTTCTATAAACTGCAAACAAAGGCCGGTTCAGACCCCATGCTATAGTCCTGTAGAAATCTTTTCTTTCGTCTTTTGACATCTCAAAGATGACTTCTGTAGCATCTTTTATTCCGCGTGCCTTCAGGTAGCGTTCAATATTATTCATCAAAATACCAATTTCTTCCTTGGACCACATCCCCTGCTTCCATTTATGTCCTTTGTTAGTCAGAGAATCCTTATCTTCTTTAGTTGTAAACCATGCTTGGCTAACTGCTGAAACTTCCTCATTACCCAAGGGAGATATTTCATCTAGTTGCTCATTCTGTAGAATCTGGATCTGTGTCACAGTTCCCTCAGTAATCTCATCATCTGCCACCTCTGTGGTTGCAGTCATGGTCACCTCAAAGCTCTGATCATTTTCTGAAACTGCAAGGAAAGGAATAATTCAATTCCAGAATAGCAATGGCAAGTTCTAATTAGTTTTTAAAAATCCATGGAAAAAATGGGACCATCTAATTTTCAGTACTATTCTATTTCATCAGCTTCATTCTGAGGGCAATGAAGAATGAGGTTCCCGTCTATGTCCCGAGTCAAAGTTACAAAGTTAACAGTTTCTACTGTTACTGTGTCAGAATCCTCTTCAACTGTGCTCATACTCAAATCTAGAAAACAGATGAATCAGCTATATCCCTTCCCATAGAATCAAGTCGCCTTCCCTTAGCCACCAGCATCACTTTCATGTTATCCAGATTGTTTTTCCCCCATGCTCCTATAGCTGCAACATTCCTGTTTTGGGTCCGGGCACTTTCCTCATCTGTATTCTTGAATCCAGTTTTTAACCATTCCCACAGCTACTTCTACTCCATATTAATACCAGAATTCTGAAATTCGCCTTAAGGAAAAATCTATGCCTAAGTAATACTCACTGTTTTCCCCAGCTCAAGAGCCTATGAGGGCTTCCTATATCCCACCATTTCATATCTAAATTCTTAGGCTTTACACTTAAGTTCTTCCCTCACTACTTGGCTAATTCTCTGACTATCCACCATCTGACCACCCACCCAACACTGAATAGTCAGGCTTCTAAATGCTGAACCCCGTGCTAGCCACTACATTCACACACAAGGCAAGGCCTGTACAATCCCTGTCCCCAAGGAACTTAAACCTGAGGGGGTGTGGACATGCAGACGGGCAATTTGATTCCAGGGTAATCGCTATGCTGGGGGGCAGAGGGTGCTAGGCCAGCTGCCCTGGCAGGACGTGGCCAGGGTTCCCGCACCAACAGCCCGTCAGGAAGCACCTGCAGGATCTGCGCTTTGGCAAGTGTTTCCATGGATCTGTGCAAACCTCCACTCATTCTCACAACACGTCCACCAGGGCTGTTTCTCCAGCTCCGACGACGAGGAGACGGAGACAACCCAGCTGAGGCCCACACTGAACGGGGCCGGGCGGGGACGGCACCCAATCTCAGACCAGAGCCTGAGTTCTGACCCAGGAGAAAACAGTCATGATCAGGGAAGTGGCAGATCAGAGCAAGGACATAAGAAGGGGTCGGGTTGAGGCAAATGGCCGTCATTGAGGACAAAAGTATGACAAAACGGATTGAGATGACAGCCATACACTGCTCACCGCCCTGGAAGGCCCAGCGTGCTGTGCGACACTGTCTGTGTCCCCTCTCCCTCCTCCCTACATGTCTCTGTGGGCACTGTCTGTGTCCCCTCTCCCCTCCTCCCTGCATGTCTCTGTGGACACTGTCTGTGTCCCCTCTCCCTCCTCCCTGCATGTCTCTGTGGGCAATGTGACCACCCCCCACTCTCCCTCCTCCCTGCATGTCTCTGTGGACACTGTGACCACCCCTCACTCTCCTTCCTCCCCTCATGTCTCTGTGGACACTGTCTGTGTCCCCTCTCCCCTCCTCCCTGCATGTCTCTGTGGACACTGTGACCACCCCTCACTCTCCTTCCTCCCCTCATGTCTCTGTGGACACTGTCTGTGTCCCCTCTCCCCTCCTCCCTGCATGTCTCTGTGGACACTGTGCCCACCCCTCATTCTCTCTCCTCCCCTGCATGTCTCTGTGGTTACTATTCTGTCCCTCAGTGAGCTTATAGTTTTCAAGTTGGGCTTCCTGACTTCACATTGATACTGACCACTGTAGCGTTCCTGCAGCCTTCTGTAAACTGGCTGTTGCTCTGTGGGGAGATGCTAGGGTTATGATGTAGTGGCTCAAGACTGCTCTTGAATGTTTCTACCATTTTTGAAATAGCTTTTATTTTGTCCATCATTAAATTATGTTTTCATTCTTTGAAATACTACCTGTGAATGCTGGGTGTTGAGGTGCGTAGATAGTTACTGTGGAAGTTCTTTGCCCTTTTTGGTGACTAGAGCCCTGAGTTTCTATGTTTCTTTCTCACCTTACTCATGAGAGAACTGACAGATTCTGCTACCCTGATGGACAAGTCTTCTGCATTCACCCTCCAAAATCCATGCTGTTTGTTGTTGTTGTTGTTGTTGTTTATTTAAGAAAATGGTTTATGAATGCCTTTGCTTTAAATATGATCAATCATCCTAACAAGCACCACTATCACACACAAAATCCAACTGACAGCTGTTTCACATGCACCTGGTGTCCAAGTTAGTTTATGTTCTTGGTTTGGGTGGCAGTGTGTCCTTGTACAATATAATACACTCCACCATTCACTGGTAAGGCTGTTCAGAATTGAAAAGAAACAGATGAGAGATAAATAGTGTAACTGGTACCAAGATTTGATCACCTGCTGCCACAAACTCATGAGACAGGAGCTGGTGGAAAAGGAAAGTGGTTTATTCAAGTGCCAGACACCTGAGAAGATGGGGGACTCTTATCACAAGACCCATTTCAACATCTCAGTCCAGGCAAAGGTTTTTATAAGGAGGGAGAGGGGGAACAGAACAAAGAAATAAAGAGGAGGAGTTGAAAAGTTTTCTATGTGCAGACCAGCACAGTCCACTCCCATAAGGACCTTGACACTGGCCTGGTGTGCATCATCTGGTTCTACATTGAGGGTCCGCAAATCTACCAAAAATGGGATTACTGAAGGTCAGAGTCTGCATCTTCTGAAGTTAGTTCTTAGGATTCTTATACAAACATGCTATTTATCTACAAGCTACATATTAGTCACAGCTGGGCTTTACAGAAACATTGTCAAAAAAAATGGTGGGGTAGGTTACAATACTACCACTCTTACAATACCACCTGTATATTTGTTACAAAATGTGTAGAGATTTATGTGGAGGATGATAATGTTAATATAAACCAACCTGGTTTGAGTAGTGACATGCAACTGCTTCCTTCAGGGAGCTCACTGGGAACCAGTGCCCATCCCGGTTAGGAGCAACCAGCCAGGCCTGCCAGCAGCATTTATTAGTGGGACCTACGATGCCTTAATCAAAACAGTGGGCAACCGAGGTCACCAGAATTCACCAGTCTGTTTGTGAGTGTGTTTGTTCAATGTGTGGGTGCCTACAAGTCAAATACATCAGCAGACCTATGAGGAATATAAAGTTGTTACATACACTTGAATCTCTCTTTGTTTTAAATCATTATTATTCCCCCCATTAACCTCTTTCAGCCTGATCAGGTCCCTTATCCTAGGCCCTCACCACCCCTTGTCTGTGTCCATGGGTTATACATATATGCATACAAATTTATTGGTTGATCACTTCCCACTCACCCTCCCCTGCCTTCCCTCTGAGGTCTGTTCATGCTTCTATGTCTCTGGGTCTATTTTTGTTCATCAGTTTATGTTGTTCATTAGATTCTACATCTGAGTGAGATCATGTGATACATGTCTTTTTCTGACTGGCTTATTTCACTTAGCATAATATTCTCCAGGTCCATCCATGCTGTTGCAAATGGTAAGAGTTTTTTTCTTTTTTATTGCTAGTATTCCATTGTGTAAATGTACCACAGCGTTTTTATCCACTCATATGCTGATGGGCACTTGGGCTGTTTCCAAATCTTAGCTATTGTAAATTGCAGTGCTATGAACATAGAGGTGAATATGTTCTTTCTGATTGGTGCTTCGGGTTCCTTAGCATATATTCCTAGAAGTGGGATCACTGGGTCAATTGGGAGTTCCATTTTTAATTTTTTGAGGAAACTCCATACTGTTTTCCATAATGGTTGCACCAGTCTGCATTCCCACCAGCCATGTACTAGGGTTCCCTTTTCTCCACATCCTCGCCAACACTTGTTGTTTGTTGATTTGCTGATGATAGCCATTCTAACAGGTGTGAAGTGAAATCTCATTGTTGTTTTGATTTACATCTCTCTGATTAGCAGCGACTTTGAGCATTTTTTCATATGTCTCTTGGCTTTCTGTATGTCCACTTTGGAGAAATGTCTGTTTAGGTCCTTTGCTCATTTTTTAAGTGGATTGTTTGTCTTCCTTTTATCAAGTTGTATGAGTTCCCTATATATTTTGGAGATTAACCCCTTATCGATGTATCCTTGGCAAATATGTTCTCCCATGCAGTGGGCTCTCTTAATTATTTTGATGATGGTTTCTTTTTCAGTACAGAGCTTTTTATTCTGCTGTAGTCCCACTTGTTTATTTTCTCCTTATTTTCTATTGTCCTGGGAGATGTATCAGTAAACATATTGCTACGAGAGATGTCTGCCTATGGTTTCTTCTAGAATTTTTGTGGTTTCATGTCTTACATTTAAGTCTTTTATCCATTTTGAGTTTATTCCTGGGTATGGTGTAAGTCTGTGGTCTAGTTTCATTCTTTGGCATGTACCTGTCCAATTATCCCAACACCATTTATTGAAGAGACTGTCTCTGCTCCAATGTATGCTCTTGCCTCCTTTGTCAAATATTATTTGAGCATAGTGGCCTGAGTTGGTTACTGGGGTTCCTGTTCTGTTCCATTTATCTATATGCTTGTTCTTGTGCCAGTACCAGGCTGTTTTGAGTGCAGTGGCGTTATAGTATAGCTTGATATCTGGTATTGTGATTCCTCCAACTTTGCTCTTCTTTCTCAGGATCACTGTGGCTATTCAGGGTCTTTTTTGGTTCCATATAAATTTTTGGAGTGCTTGTTCTAGGTATGTGAAATATGCCATTGGTATTTTAATAGGCATTGCATTGAATCTGTATATTTCTTTGGGTAGTATCAACATTTTAATTATGTTGATTCTACCAACCCATGAACATGGTATATTCTTCCACTTGTTTATATCTTCCTCTATCTCTTTTTCCAATGTCCTGTAGTTTTCGGAGTGCAGGTCTTTTACCTCCTTGGTTAAGATTATTCCTAAGTCTCTTTATTTTGTTGTTGTTGTTGTAATGGTAAATGGGATGTTTGGGTTTTTTTTAGTTTCTCTTTCTGAGAGTTCATTATTGGTGTATAAAAATACTATGAATTTTTGGGTGTTAATTTTGTATCTGACTACATTGCCAAATTC